CTCCAGTCTCGACGGTCGCCATTTTGTCGGTTGTCATCACGTCTGTTTTCCGTCAGACATCTTGCCCGCTTTCTCCCACGCACTAATTTTTTGGCTCGTTTTTCCATCCCACTTTAAATTGACGGAATCGACGGAACCAATCGGAGGACTGGGCACTATGGGGAGAACCAATCGGACCGTCAGGACCCCTATCTTAGCGGTGGACTACTCTCCACAAATACTACGTTTAACTTCTATTCTAATAAGTTTTCAATTAGCCCAGCATACTAGGACCCTGTTTGGAAAGGTGGAGGACCCAGGTTCGAGCCCAAGCATGTTCACACGACCGGAAAAAATAAAAAAATTTAAAAGGAAAAAATTTTTTTTTAATTTAAAAAATTTAAAAGGAAAAATTTAAAAGGAAAATTGTCTCGTAGACGTCCACGAGTCCCCTCCATTCTTTTTTTCCACAGACACCTTTAGGGGGGAGGGCCCCAGACAGTCACAGCAGGGGGCCAAGGGTCGGTGGTGGGGGTTTGTTTTGACGCCCCATAGTGCCCACTATCTACTGAAGTCGAAATGTATAAAATTTTTATTAAGATACGTCTCCGTCGTCATCGCCGCCCAAGTCCCTAATGCGCATGCACAAAAATTGTACGGTTGGAGCATTTGCCATAACATTGCGCTGACGACGCTTCATGATGTTAATTGCTCGCATCCGTACCTGGTTTTGATAAGTATAGGTTAATAAATAAAGTTTGCAATGCAAGAGTGCATTATTTTATCATAAAAATAGTAGAGAGCTCGTTTTTCCATGCCACTTTAAATTGACGGAATCGACGGAACCAATCGGAGGACTGGGCACTATGGGGAGAACCAATCGGACCGTCAGGACCCCTATCTTAGCGGTGGACTACTCTCCACAAATACTACGTTTAACTTCTATTCTAATAAGTTTTCAGCTAGCCCAGCATACTAGGACCCTGTTTGGAGAGGTGGAGGACCCAGGTTCGAGCCCAAGCATGTTCACGCGACCGGAAAAAATAAAAAAATAAAAAAATTTAAAAGGAAAAAATTTAAAGGGTAAAAAATTTTTTAAAAATTTAAAAAATTTAAAAGGAAAAATTTAAAAGGAAAATTGTCTCGTAGACGTCCACGAGTCCCCTCCACTCTTTTTTTCCACAGACACCTTTAGGGGGGAGGGCCCCAGACAGTCACAGCAGGGGGTCGGCGCCAGTGGCTGAGGAGTGGGGGTTTGTTTGACGCCCCATAGTGCCCACTATCTACTTGGATCTACCAAACAATAAGTTGAAATCGTCTACAGCCGATGCATTGCCTGTATCGATAGTACAAAATAAGGAGTTAGATCTACCAAGCGATAAGTTGAAATCGTTTCAAAGATCAGCTACAGAGTTTCGTGAACCAGCACCATCACGTGAGTCGATACCTTTGATATCCGAGCATAATCTGGTAGTATTATCAAATTATAACCTAGAATCATCACCGGAAGACTTCCCTGATACTCCAGACGTCGCGATAAAAACAGTCAACACACATAAATTAGAACATAAACAAGAATCGAATCATGCAGCTGATAAAGTGAAGTCCTCGGATGATCATCAATCAATCGTAGTACATAAGCCTAAGATTAAAATCATTACATATTTCAATTAAAATGCTATTTACAAAAGAAATTAATATTTTTCGAGTTTCGATTTTCAAGTATATGTAGTATATGTAGTATATGTAGTATATGTAGTGTTATAGCCCGAAAAGGCTATACACGAATTAATAGATATATAGTATTTTAGAGATATTATTTTATACGATAAGATATTGCTCAACGTGTAACGCGAATACAGATCACGTTACGAACGTTGACCGAGCGAAGCGCTGACAACGCGAGCCACGCGCGAAGCCCGAGCGACCGCGCAATCACTCATTACGAAAACGCGGAAATCAAGGCAAGCGGAATAAAGGCGTTGCGAAAATGCAACGTAGAGATCCTACCTAAAAGCGAAAAGGAAATTGCGAAAAAGCAAGCAAAGAAGTCCCTTAGAACTCCTAGCTTGCATCCGGATCTTGCCGCCAAAATCGAGCGACACGACACATGGTCTTGTCCCGATCCCCTCCTGGGAAACCAAGGGGAGACAATAAAAAGACCCATCGCTAACAATCGGCGGGCAGTCTTTATCATCAATCAATATTACGCGGGCAGCCAATAACGCTTTACGGGAAACTATTAAATTAACGCCACACAGTCGGCAGAAATAAATACATAAGATCGAGAAGTGAGTTTCGCGACCGAAACTCAACTCCAGACACGCGCATGCCAAGATATCCGATATCGCGATACGCGACGCGAGAGACGTGCGAAGACTTTGTAATTAAACCAAGTACGAATAAAATAGTTATATATACATTTATTCAGAATACGAAAGTGTCATTTTTAATTATAATAAATTCAGTGAACTACCCGGGCGGAGCCTGAATTCCCAAATTCCTTCCGGCAAACGATCCTAACTACCGTGCCTCTCCGGAGGCATAACAGTAGTATATAGATGATGTTAGTTTGGTTTTCAATTCTCATTCGATGTAATTTTATAAATATGAATATCGTTACATTTAATAATTATCTAAAAGTTTTATCATATTTTGTATAAAACATTTAACAGGAAAAGACAATCGACCTTGGAGGACCAGACTCTTGTGTAGTGAACGCCACTCGTCTTTCCTTGTGCAATCACACATCTGCCTCTAAGTTGATATGCGAGATGATGTCTTTGCTATTTTCAAAAGAAGAGTTAGCTACCTTCTCGCTTACAGGAACTGTGGCAAATTTTCATTGCGAAAAAGGTATAGCCGCTAAAATGAAACTCGACACGGTGAAAATTGAAGCTATGAAAGGTATGATTATAATTTGTGCGATGCAGAGTATTGATTTCACATAGTTGGCAGTTCGAAAACTAATAAATATATGTGCTTTCAGTATACGTTAAGAACAAATTTCCAATAGAAAAAGATTTCGACAAGATGTTCCGCAAAGCAGTGCAGCAGAAGTGCAATAATGCAGTTCCTCGAAATAGAGGATCAAATAATAAAGGAGAAACCAACAAGTAAAGTTAAAGGAACCAGCATATATAAAGGCGAAAAACCCAAAGAACGCAGATTAAGCGTCGTAAATAAGTCGAATAACGGTTAGTTTCCAGTGTTTTTAATAATCGGGACCAATACAACTAGTCAGATTATTGTATTATTATTTGTACTTGATCTTGCGAATGAAAGTACAATTAATGTCACAGTGTTGTTTTATTTCTATAGAAATATATTTATCGTTCTTATTGAAAACTGTGTAGATCCATTTTTATTCACGTTGTTATTCAAAAAGAATACACTAGTCTCAATTTCAATGAAAACTTGTAGATTGGCAATTAGTAAACTATAGTGATCCACTAGTGCGCACACTTGAGGATCAACTTAACACTAATAGTACGAAAGTAACACTACTAATGCGAATTCCAATAGTGCGCGAAATTACTATTGATGTAGTGTGCATTAATAATTATTCAATAGTTGTCATTTCAATAGTGCCACAAGTTTTTTTTCCGTAAGGGATGCGTCTTTAGAATATTTGTTATAAAGTTATCTTGCACATTAATATTCATCTATCTATACCCAGCTAACCATTTGCTTGCGGATTGTTAACAAACGGCAAACAATTCCCTGTCAAACGAGGCTGCCAAATTCAGGGCCTACTGTGTCCTCGAGTGCGCCCCAATTGCAACCAAAAGTTGAAATCACATCCTGATGTCAAATTGGGTACAACACCAGAGCAGATCTGTCACTAGCAGTACGACGACAGATTGACGCAACAAACCGAGAGCATGTTTCCCGATTCAGCCACTTGTACCTCGCATATTTTTTCAGACCCGCAAATGTTGTTTTCTAAAAATTATTTGTCGGGCTGGGGAAGTGTGTAAACGCCCGACACAGATACGACAGTGCCGCTGCCACGGAAGAGATGGATGCTTGGTTCGTGCCTCCTCCCGCCTTAAATCCCCCCCTCGCTTCACGAGGATTGGAATTCGCATTAGTAGTGTCAACCGCAGACCGACAACAGATTTGCGCCAAATGCCCAGCAGATCTATATGCAGAAGCGACGGCAGATTGGCATCAAACGTACAGCAGATCTGTATTCAGAAACGACGACAAGTCGGCGACAAATGCGAAGCAGATCTATATGCAAAAGCGACAGCAGATTGGCGCCAAACGCACAGCAGATCTGTATTCAGAAACGACGACAGATTGGCGACATATCTATCGAACCTAAGGCTCGTTTTCACAGTCGTGATTCTAACTGAGAATCGGTATGAGCTAGACTCTAGCCGGATTTCATACTGAGGTAGCATGCTACGTGCACCTTCGATCGAGTTTAGGTGAGAAACAATGGCACTGCTTCTCACTTCAATCGAAGCTAAACGTTGCACGTAGCATGCTACCGATGTGAAAGCCGGCTAAAGCCTATATAGCTCAAATTGATTCTCAGGTAGAATCACGACTGTGAATACGGAGCTCAGGTTTGGCAGATTTGTCTCCAATCTCTTCAGACCTAAACCGAAAATAAAAGTTCGATTGGAATTAGTAATTACACTTACATACAGTTGTTTCATATTATTATTATTTGATGAACATTAATTGAAAACGTTATTATAATATTAAAATATATTGAAAACATTATTACAATATTTTATAAAAACGCGTGCAGGTACATACATATGTATTATTGATGCTATAATAGAACGCATAAAATAAACTAATAATAATATTATATAAAATTATCGTGTAAATTTGTACTAAGTAATAAATGGTTAAATGTAATTTTGCGATATCGAAGACAATTGGTATCGTTAGTATACGGAATAAATACACAAACAGATGTTTCGACTGTATGAGTTTTGGTACTTCCGTGTTTCTGTATTTCTTTCATTCTATTAAACATTTGTTGCAGAGGTTGATTAGACTTTCTGCAAAACTTCCGAAAAGTTGACATGTTGTTTTCATATGGAAAAGCAGAAAATGAATCTAAACTGCCCAAACATCTAACATCATCAGTTAGATGAAGAAGTCCGTGGACATTATAAGAATAAAATGTAATACAATATAGATGTTGACATTGCAGAACAAATTTCTGAAGAGCACATTCTGCAAAACGTAAGTACTGCTTTGACGGAAACGTGGACGCTAAGATTCTTATAGCTATATGTAAAAATAAAAAATGTTTATACACTCTGTCATCTAATAAATCGTGTAATATAGCTGGACCGGTATACAATAAAAATTGACGTAGTTCTGTGACTTTTTATTTGGAATATAGTTCGAGAGATCTGGGACGTCTTGCGAAATCTGAAGGACAATACTCTTGTAGACTTAGTATTTTTGTATTTATAACTGTAATAGCTCTTCCAGATAGTTTTGTCTCACGTGAAAATTTTCCTTGTACCCACGCTTGAAACAACTTTTTCATAACACCTATACAGACTAAGTGCATGTACTCAAATAGAACCTTATACACCATTTCCATGGGTAATCGTGAAAGTGGACTTGCACCATCTTTGTGGTGAGCGTCATCAAAACGTCTGATGTATTCATCATCCGTTCGAAGAGGATGGTTAATACCATTAAAGATAAAATAATTAGTATTAACATGTATTCCTGATATTTTACATTTGTAACATGGACGTTCAGCCATATGGCCACGATGATGTAATATAAAGGCGCGAACTGGCGCATCTGCTATGAAACATCTAAGCTCTAAGTGGCACTCTTTGGCCAAGGAAATATATTCCGCCATTCGACATAATTCGTTGTACGTCTGTAACAAATTTTTCAAAGAATAAATTAGGATCGTATGGTTTATGTGAACCTTTGTAAATGCCCACAATTATTGGTAGTGCATTTTGTACATTAGCAATTCGACACTGAATAAGCCAAATATGAATGGTACTTTGTTTATCTAAATTACATCCATCTGTACTAAAATCTAAGACTACCTTGTTAACTGATGTACAAGATATATTATTAGACAAACTGTCAACAACTGCGACTTCCAGATCAAAATGCAAATATTCCCCTGGTGGTACCGCGCATATATCAAGACAACTGCGCGGTGTATCGAGAAGTGTCCTAACATCTTTCGGCAAATATGAAAAGCATGGATGTTTTCTTAAAAGAGACAAAAAATTATTTCCTTGGACGTGTGTAATGTTATTATCAACAAAGCAAGATGCCAATTCGTCGCGAAACGATGCTACTTGTGAAGACAACATCACTTTTATCGCTTTCGTCACATACATCACTAATATCGGACATACACGAAGACACATCAGTAGTCCCTTGTGTATTATCTATATTTTCACTGCAAGTCTCATTATTGAAAGTATTATTGAAAGCAATACTTTCTTGAGGTCCAATGTATGGACACGACGTATGCACATTACTTCTAGTATGGACAGTTAGATTGGACGCACATAATATACAAATATTGTTTCTATATTCGGATTTAATCCTTCATATTTGTCGTTCAGACATTGTGTGCAGCGTCTTTCGACTGATTGAGGTTTTTATATATCGTCTTTCCATATTAATATATAGAAATACAAATACAATAGCAAAAGATTGCAGGTGCAAAGTAATCGTTGACTCGCAGGAACGCAAGTACAACGTAGCAAACATGTTATGTTTTAGTACTTAGCCACTTGCTGTGACGGAACAGAGAATAATTATATTACGGTATCCTTAAGTATTTTTATACATGAAAAAATTTGTGACAGAGATAACAAAACACGGTTGTGTATAAGGAATTAATAGTACATACAATACATTGCAGGTGTGCATTACAACGATGTGTTCGCAGCCTCATGCCGCAGGAACAGACATTACATGGCAATATGTCTGTTTTTTACATCATCAGTCTCTATGATCGATGAATAACGGCACCTTTGATAATATTTCACGTCACGTATATGAACAACACGACCTTGTATAGATAGAAAGAACGATTCGTCGTGTATCTAAAACACAAACAGAGAAAAACATTTATTTTTATGTACAGAGTTGCAATGACCGCACTCAGAATAACAAGTAGTTTCTAAATTAATGCTATATACATACCACAAGCTATCGCAGGTATAACAATGTGTTCGCAGCCTCATGTCACAGGAACAGACAAACTACATGGTAATATATCTGTTTTTTACATCATCAGTCTCTATGATCGATGAATAACGGTACCTTCGATAATATTTCACGTCACGTTTATGAACAACACGACCTTGTATAGATAGAAAGAACGATTCGTCGTGTATCTAAAACACAAACAGAGAAAAACATTTACTTGTTTTTATGTACAAAGTCGCAATGGCCGCACTCGAAATAATAACAGAAGTTTCGAGATTAATGCTATACATATCACAATAATAAGATATTGCGGGTACAACGATGCTCTTCGAACATGAGCAATTAAAACGGACTTTCAACTTGAGCACCTTCTTCCGAATGATAATAACGGCTTTCGCTCACAGCGAGACGTGAAACAACAAGTGCGTTGATTGTCCCTCAGCGCGCTTCTCTCACTCCGCGCGCTTTGCAGCATCGCGATTGGAGCGTAGACATCGTACCACCACGCGCACCTTTGCCCGCGTTCAGCAGAGAAAACCGCTCAGTTATCGTCTTGTCAACATTCGACGTTGATTTGTTGATTCTCAAAGTAAGAGCCAATCACGTTCGATTGCTACTGAGCGGTTTTCTCTGCTGAAATGCGCGGGCAATGGTGCGCGTGGTGGCTCGATGTGTACGCTCTAATCGTGACGCTGCAAAGCGCGCGGAGTGAGGGAAGCGCGCTGAGGGACAATCAACGCACTTGTTGTTTCACGTCTCGCTGTGAGCGAAAGCCGTTATTATCATTCGGAAGAAAGTGCTCAAGTTGAAAGTCCGTTTCAATTGCTCATGTTCGAAGAGCATCGTTGTACCCGCAATATCTTATTATTGTGGTATGTATAGCATTAATCTCGAAACTTCTGTTATTATTTCGAGTGCGGCCATTGCGACTTTGTACATAAAAACAAGTAAATGTTTTTCTCTGTTTGTGTTTTAGATACACGACGAATCGTTCTTTCTATCTATACAAGGTCGTGTTGTTCATA